TCTCATGGAAAGCGAGCCTGGATACTCGTCCTGGAAACCTCGCTGAGAACCAAGTGTAAAATATATTAAGTGAAGGACGAGACCGTGATTCAAATCATGTTCGGTTAAGAAGCGGCCAGGATAGTGATTAATTGAAAAGGCACAATAGCGTTTCACTGGAATATGACAAGAAAAACGACCAGCCAGTGTTGAAACAATATTGGAAACAGCAACCGAAAGCGGTTGAAGAGAAAATGGACTCAGACTGCCGAATTCAAACTGGTAAAGAAATATCGACTCATCATCTGGATATGGTGGTTTTGGTCGACGCAGCCCAAAGGCAGACAGAAATCATTAATATATCATGCCCTGCTAATAGCGACGTTATTGTTAGGAGTAGAGAAATAATGCTGAAATACCAAGAATTCAGGAAATGCAATGGATGTCTGAGGAGTACAGCCGAAACTATTACTGTAACGAAAAGAGGCAATCATTTTTCAATAACTTCAATTGATGATGCCCTCTGTGGAATAAACTGCGGAATGCGACCTTGCTAGAAACGCAGGGTTTTGAGAGATTGCTGCAGCTCCTGGACCCTTAATAGAAGAGTCGATATGAAATGGTATTTCTACCATTCATTCTTTATTTCAGGAGGTATGACTGAAATAAAAATATTGCTGTACGGGCGTAAGATAAAAGACATGTCATGATGATGATCCTTCATCGCACTCCACATGCTGCCTTTGCATCACTCAGAAGAATGTTCTCAGACGAAGCCAGTGCTGGCACTACTGCAGTTCATATTTCTTTATTTCTTCTGGTTGGCTGTCCTTTTATGCTTTGTTTATTTGGAGCACAGAAGAAGTAGAGCCCGTTACGGTAGCCACATGACTCCAGCGTTAGCAGGTGTCCTCTTGTAACTGGAAGGCCGTCATTAGCTTCCATAAATGAGAGCTCACTTTCCGACTGGTTGAACAGTGGCAGCTGCTCTTCAATCACTGGGTGGTCATGACAAAGTTTGATTGGCGAACTGATTTT